ATAGGTAATAATGTTATCATGTTGCCCATCCTTCAGAGAGCCGCATGCGCTTGACAGAGGGGCTTTCCCTTTCGTCCGGCGAAGGTCTGGTGAGTCCAATGGGGGAATGGAATTCGTTCCGGTGATCTTCTCGGTCACTTCCATCATAGGAACTGCTACAGCTGCTCAAACTGTCAACAGGAGATCTCCCCGCCTCATGGCGCGTATGCTGTTGGTATCTCGATGGTGTGGTGGTACGATCTCTAGGAGGAGAAACAGGTTCTGACTTGATGTTGAGGCTTTGAGTAGAAGGCAGGGAGAGATTTGTACTCTGAGATAAATGAGTGCTAGTGCAAGCTCTGTAGGAGGAAAGGAAACCCAGTTACAGACGGAGGAGGAGGCATGGAGCCCCCAGATATGCACAAACACTCACACAAAACACCAGTGTAAAGGCTCATGCAGGACTAGCTCATGCAGAGATCATGGGGATGGTTGTCTGGGCAGAATTTGCAAATTTCCAGAGATGTAAGTACCACAAGAGATGTGGTCAGCTTTAGGGGACAAAGTTTGGAAAGAGGTTTCACTTTCAGTCTCTCTCTCTCTCGTTTTTTTTTGAAATCAAGTGCCATCACAAATTTGGGAAGGTGAGCCTTTGCACTGTTGGAACCACCTGCAGGTTTCTGTGTAACTAATGCTTGTGTGTATGTATGCACCGGCTGAGAGAGAGGAAGCACAGACTTGCTGCTGGGTTTAATCCAATTAATTTGAATGGACCCAACTACTTCTATTGTTTGTTTGGACATGTGACTTCAGATGCAAAACAGAAACAAAAAAAATCTGGTCTGGTAATTTTTATACCTTTCTGGATAGAGTTGAAATTACTGATCCTAGGATTGACATTGATAAAACAGCACAGGTAGGCAAGGATTTAGATATGATTTTATGGTTTAAATCTGTTACTCTGTAATTAAATCCAGAACACATTTGGATAAACTACAAAAGCAAAACTGAGGAACAGTAGAAGATATAAGAGAACTTCACTGTTTGCCTTTAGGGAGAGCTAAGCTCAGAGGATGCAGGACTAGCAGACAGACTGCTATACTGAAACTTTTTCAAAGGGAAGTTATAGAAGTATTCTAAGCTTCCCTTTTTTTTTTTTTTTTTTTTTTTTTTTTTTTTTTTTTTTTTTTTTTTTGTGGGCAGGCAATGACAGAACAATGATAAAACAGTCAGGGAGGACAGTGAATACTGAGAACATGCTTTATCTCTATGGGAGAAAAGAGATTACTTGCATCTGCACAATACTTTGTACAAAAGCACCACCTTCTGGCAAAACCTGACTTTTCATTATTAAAATAGAATTCTCAACATGCAGTACCCATTATGTTCCACTTCAGGGACCATTTGCTAAGCTGAAGTTAGTGACTTACCCCAGAGACAGTGTTTCAAGGTTTCTATTAGTGAGTATTTATTTATACAGGGGTAGGAAGGCAGTAGGGGTAAGTAGGGACTTTGCAAGATTTTAAACTTAAAGGGATATGCAGACATTTTTAATACCAATATGTTGGGATTTGGAAGGAATTTCTAAGCATGTAGAAGACACAGGTAAGTTTAGGTGTGTTTTTTTCATTTATTGAAATACTCCAGTTTCTCTGATATTTCATCAACTGAGAGCTGAGTGTTGCTTAAACAGCATTTATTATTACTTTCCTTTATTTTTTTCTTCTGACAGATTTAAAATAAARTGACATGGCTTCAATATTGAATTATACCATCTGCTTTTATCAGGAATTACTRCAGAGTTTAATAATGAAAGGATCATGAGATCCATGGATCACAAGAAAACAAAGAAAACAGTATCTTCTAACTCCAATTTTTTGTCAACCCTTCATTCCTGTACAGAGGAATTTGTCAAATTTGCAATAAGCCCTTCCCTAAGTTACAGATTACATGTATAAAAGATAACAGTAAAGCATATAGTCTATTTTTCTAAAGCGGGTATTTTCTTTGTATTGCTTTTGTAAATATTAACGCAAATGAGAAAATGTACATATAAGACTTCGCCATTCCAACTTAGTGAAATATTCCACGCTTCCTGAAAACTTGCTAAAAACAAGCCAACAAGGATTAAGTATCTATTTCCATTTTTTTTTTTTTTTTTGCTTTTCATTTCCAGTGACTTTATTTTTCCGTTGCTTAGGAGTAAAGCACCTGAGTAAACTTACTTATTTCATCTGAGTAAAAAGGYTGTCAGTTTAATATGATAAGATTACATATGATTTTACATACCTTATAGCTTATAGCTAAACCTGAAAGTCCTATAATAAAGGACGGTGGAGCCTGGGAATTAGATTTAGAAGTGTTTGATTTGAGCAAATGACATGTCACTTTGCAAAGCTGGGGATAAGTAAAAAACTCATGCTAGATAAAAATAACTATAATCAGTCAAACTTGCTCACATGGAACATACTTGCATTCTAYTGCATGACAGCACCCAAAGGAACAAATCTGTAGTGATGATCCGAGTTTCAGTGAAAGAAAGCTGGAACTACTATTCTGGAATATCGCCTTTTTAATAGTGTCTCAGAAGTGAGTATGAGAGTGCATCTCTATAGATGCTTCTACAGATTCCTTGTGAATCAGCAGCAACAACAATTATCTGGCATACAAATCAGAGGCAGTTTTATGAATGCTTCAGGTTGACTTGCATTCTGATTTGCATTTTGAAGCACCCCTTTTTTAAATATTTGAAAAAAGATAAGAAGTCATTTTGGCTGGTCAAGACTGAATTTTTGAGGTTTAAAACAATATAAATAAATTGCAGCACTTTGACCCACATTTTTTTCTTTTTAAACATAGCCTTTTTCGCCTGAAAGTATTAGTGAAATTTGATATCTTTTTATTTGACTATAATTTGCAATATGTCATTACCATTTTCTGAAACATTTTTATGAGAATCCCATCTAAGCTAAAATGCTCCCTCACATGGGAAACCTACTATTATACATATATGCGAATGGTGAAATAATAGGTACAGACTCAGGTACAGTCTTTAGGTCTGTACTCTAAACAGAGGATTGATCTCTATTTAGAGTGGAAGGTGCACCATAAGAAATGAGAATTCTGTCTGCTGCAAAATGGTTCAATATCCTGTATAGGTCTGTGTGAGTGTAGAAACAGCTGTTTGCACTTACATATATTAATGCATATTTTACACTGTTGCTTCATATAATTACATGACTTTGGCCCAGCCATGCCTAATTTTATCACGTGAAACCTTCACTAAATTCCCTGGTAAACAAAGAGATTTTGAATATGGAAAAACTACTGAGAAACTAATGAAAATTATTTCAAAAGTTTGTGTATAATTATGTGCACTGAATAGGTGCCGTGCAGCCCACTTATGCTGACATTGTCACCTTTTCCCACATATTGCATGAAAACATTTCATTTTATGGGGACAATGAAGAAAATTAATGTTAATTGGCACAGCAGTTGCTGTTGACACCAGGGTAGGTAAAATGTGATGTTTATTTGGACTATGATGACCAAATGGAGAAATGCTTGTTGCTATCTGAATTTCACACAGAATAACTACACAGCTCTGCTGTGTGAGAAGTGGGGAGCAAGACAGGRTGCCATGAGCCCGGGAGGGAGTTTGGTCCTCACTGATGCCGGGTCTGTGTGCATCTCCTTCTATCTGAATCTCCAAGTAGTATTGAAGCACAACATGCACAGGCAGACTAAGGTCTGAGAGTGCAGGTCTGAGTAAGTTATAAGTGAGGACATGAACATGGATCAAGTAGATTTCTCCAGAGGGAGAAAGTGGTCTACTGAAGGAAGAGAGCCTCATGCAGCTTTTCTTTCATATCCACTCTTCAGTTTATTCCTCAGTTTACTTCCTCACTTCATAGAATTTTTCCCATAAATACATGTAAAGGACCACTGAAAATGCATGGCTAAATTTACTTACATAACTTTAGTTATGTGCTAATTTGTAGGTAGGAGAAGATATTTTTTGACTTACTAGCAATTAGCTTATTCCCTCCTTTCTATTTTTATTTTAGGTAAATGCTAAGGGGTTTTTTGTTGATTTTTTTAAAAGACATATTTTTCTAATCAGTGTAAAAGCAGAATAAATTTCTGTGTCAAGACATTTTGTTCAGCTCTCAAAAAAGAATAACATAAAACTGAATGGCTAGGCCATCCTATTTACAATAGTAGCATAAGAAAAAAAGACTTGATCTGAAATATATTAGGTTTTTATTCAAAACAAAGACATTGGCAGAACTGATACAAATTCATTAAACATGATGTCACTGTTTCTAAATTTTTCAGTAAAAATAGTTCAATGGAGAATATTTTCCTGTGTCTAGCTATGGTTATTATCTAATCAAAAGTAATTGTTGCTGAGTAATAATCTTTCTACATAAGGGTCACAGAACAAGCCAACACTATGCACAAATTTGGACAACTTTTTGTTCATGTGGGCCGAAGTTTGGAGAAACTTCTCTTACATAAATAATCATCTATACTGAGGTATTGTCAGATGAAATATTTTTTCTATGGTTACATTCGTATTTTAGGAAAGCCATAACTTCACCTGTGGATGTTATTTTTAGACAAAAAAATTGTCTCTTAGGCTAGGAAACGTAAATGCAAGAACTTATTCCATACTAGGAATTTATGCATAATTTTTTTTTTATAATTTATTTCAAATTTTGGAAAGGACTTCCCTTCTGGTTATCAGCAGTTAACTCCTGTTAGTCTCTCTAGTATATGTTAAATAAGCAATAAGAGATRTTGATAATGGTTCAGGCCAAATCCCAAAGCTTTGGGAGGGAATGATTTTCCATAGAATTTGTGTGCGTATTTTTTCCAGATGTAGCTGCAGTTGAAAGACCATGAAAATATGATTTTGCTTTTTAACCCAAAAAATTGAAAAGTCCAGCTTGTTTTAATGTCTCAGTCATGTCTAAAGAAGCTCTATATTGTTATGCTGTTCAGCAGTCTTGGCAGAAGGCCAACAGCTGCAGAAAGGGAGAGTGAACTACTCCCATGTCCTCATGTATTTGCCCTCTAGTCCACCAGCACCAGCTAATTGCACAGTCAACATGAAGAACCAAGAGCTAGGTTGCAGAGATCTCCAATTCCCTCCAAGATGGTTCTGACAGTGCTACTGAATTTGCTGAGGACTTATCTGGAGCAAGATACTACATCTAATCCTATTCTACTACTAACCATATTCTTCTGTCATGCATTGAGGAGGTAGAATTGATTTTCACATTTAGACTTCGGTGAAAAGCAAAACCTGAAGGAGACCTGCAATGACTCTTCCACTATGTTTTCTCACAGGTTTTTATAACCTACAGTTAACAACAAACATTTCACACCTGACAAATCTTTTCAGTGTATGACCTTTCTCAGCAGAGATTTGTGTTGTCAAAACCTTTCTAGATGTATTTTCTCAAATATATGAAGATAACTATAATTCTGTCTCATTTTTCAAATCTCTCTGTGAATTCTAGACCATCTTGACGTGGACTGAGTATGTTCCACAGAATTTCAAGTTTTTAAAGTAATCCAAAAGTTAACACAGGTGCTTTTGCATGTAGAACTCCGTGACTAAAATAAAGGCTTATGATTTTCTGCAATGATAGAAGACTTCTCCGGAACTGTCTGTGAAACAGCTTTCATAGCTGAATTCATTTACAACTTACTGAAAGAATAATAATTAGAATAGTAACTCAGAATGTACTCCATAGCCACAGCTATTACACTATGACATTCTGCAATATAAATCAGAAACAGATTACAATGTGTGATCTATCAGAAAAGGCACGTTGTTAGTTTACGAGTTAATTTATACTTTTTTTTGGCTAACCAAATAGTCTTATTATATTCCTTGGTGCACTACTGAAAACAATCAGCTTATTGTATGTTTATACAGTGATATCTAATGTGAACTTTCAATTTATTTGAGACTTTATGACTTTAGTTGTACAGTTAGTCTGAATGCTGCCCCAGAAATAGTACAAACTCAAAAAGAAAAGTGTAAGAGAAAGATAGAAAGCCTGTTTTTTTCTAGCACAGCAAGTATTTAAATTGTATGTTTTTATGTCATTAATATCTACATATACTTATTTATACAGAAATGAGGCTTACAAAATTTGTTTTCTTTGAAACACTTTTGTAGCTGTCTTTAAAAACCCAAATTATCTGTACATGGTAAAGACATAAAAATTGGTCAGATAAGTTAGAAGGAGAATTTTGAAGTTTAAGCTACATTTAGAGTATTAAATAGTTCCACATTGTGCAACTATCTTGAAAAAAAATGCATAGGTGCAAAACCTCTTTCTGAAAAAAAGGTGTTCTTTTCAAATGTATATGAATTAAAATTTTCATCATAAATACAGTCCAGCCGTTTTTAGATTCTATTTTTATGATGAAACCTTTACAAATTCTAATATACCTAACCATACATTAGACTGCTGTGCCACAGTGGTGCATGTCTACAGCCTTATTCAGTAGAAACTGCAGATATCAGAATATCTGAAAATCATACACCTTCGATGAATGAATAGATTGTTTGGTCAAGTGATTTCCCTGTGTGAACTTGAACACTTTTAAAGATGCTAAAATGATCAAACACTGCRCTTCAACAAAACTTGAATAAATATCTTAAAATTAGCCACTAGAGGGCTGGAATACCTGTCCTCCTCAACACATGCACACCACAATGAGTTTTGCGGGCTCACAGTAATTTGGCMTAATGATCCTATTTTTCTCATAGAAATCATCTCCAAAGGAATGAAATTTGAATTTCAGAGTTGAGCAGAAGGGAGAATTTGATTATTGGACAAGATTAAGGCTTAATCTTAGGTCAAATAATTATGTAAGTCTTACTTTTAAAGATATATAGAAAATTTTCATGTTTACTGTAAATGTGCTACAGTAACTAGAAATAAAAAGCATAAACAATACATATAGTACAATACAGGCATTAACCTTGGTTTTAGTAGTGAACAAAAATGCTATTTAAAAAAAACAAAACCTCAAACACAAACAATACACTACTGAGAAAATGTCATGGACACAGAATATTTCATTGTAGTTACCTGGCAAACTTTCCATTAATTACATTGTTCTAGTTTTGCAAAACTGAGCTTGTAAACACATTAAATATGTACCGCTATGTTATCTTGACATATTTCCCATTTGGAATTATTGGGAGACTGAAGTTACTGTAGGACAGTAAAATAAAGAAAATACCGCTTACCCCAATTGACTGAGGGCAGATGGTGGCATGTTATGTAGATGTTGCTGTTGCCAGCCAGTCACAGAACCAAGATGAAGAGCACTGGCTGTATTAAACCCAGAGAGAGATGATATATCTGCACTACTCAGAGAATACTCTGGATTTGAAAACAGAAAGACAATAATTAAGAGAGAATTAAAGAGGAAGCAATTAAACAACAACTAGCATACTAATTTTCACATGCCACTTTGTAAGCCTTTTAATTTTAATTACACCAATCACATTAAGTTGAAGCAGATAAAGTAAACCTTCCTCTTCCCTCATTAACTTGGGAGCAAATAATGCACTAATAATCATTCTATAATTTAGCAGGGCCTTACTGGGTCTGGCAGATCTAAAGCATTCTTAGCCTGTAAATTCACCAAAACTACAAATGCACTTTCAGAAAGACTTGACACAGAAGAAATACACACAGAACATTTTGGTTACAGTCTTCCTTGCAGAACCCAGCAGGCAGCTTGTTTCTGAACAACATTTATACTCTCTAAGAGCACTGGATCTGTGTGTTCACTCAGTACACTCTGTAGAGCAGCAATACCCAACAGAAACTATAAAGATGCCTTGAGGCTTCATTTCTGTGCCCTCCCAGGTAGGGTTGATAGTCAACTCTGGTGTGGAGACAGTGAAGCTGCTTATTCCCACTACTCTCATTGCTTTAGGATGGTACACTCAACTGCATGAAATTATCCCCAAGGACAATGAAGAACTGTCTTCTATGTTTCATTTTTTAAATTAAAACTAGTGAAAAGAAGCTAYCAAGTAAGTTTTCTTTCAAACAAGACAGCTAACTTTAAAATAGGTATGTCTGAAGTTGGTGGCAGGTACTAAATAAGCAAATGTAGTGCAAAGGCACAACAGTGATGAATTTTTCAGTTTCCCCCAAAGAACATTGGCTAATTCATTAATACTGAGATATAAACTTGTGAGCACCTTGCTCCCTTCCCCATCCTTTCCATCCTGCACTCATACTTACCAGTACCATATGTTGTTGAGATGGCTGATGGGTATCCTCCCATCCCTTGCCCAGGTAGAGTAGGAGTTGCTACAGAAACCACTGGAGTAGCCAATGACTGAGCAGACTGGGAGTTATTTATCCTTTGATTCTTTTAAAGTAAGTAAAATAAACATATTATTGACCAGTTTTAAGTCAGTTGAGTGTATTTTCTTTCTGGGAATATTTTGTGCATGAGAAATACACGCTGTTACAAATTTCTAGAAATTAATAATTTAACATGTGGCTTTGATGAACTCTGCCAACCCTATCATTTACAAGCTTTCAAGAGACAAGTTGTCACCATAGTAACTCATTACATCAGTATCTCCTAGGTAACTGAACTAGTAAGATAGCTTTTATTGTGGGTAGAAGAACAGATTATGTGAAAAACTAATGAAATAYGTTTATTCCCATTGTTTATTCCCATTGTTTTCCTTTTCACTCACACAGAAAAAAACCCAACCACAAACAACAATAAATCCACAAAGTAAAACAAAACAAAAAGGCAAAAAAAAACAAAAAACCCAAACCCAGGTCTGCTGTAATTTGAAAGTGAGGAGAACCCTCAGACTGCTGAACACTGAACTCTTACCAGGAGATGGTGCTCGGACTACTTCATTTTTGTTCAATAAAAAAAAAAAAAACCAACAAACTTTAAGGCTGTTAGACTGTTAGCAGCTATACACTTATCTTTAACTCCAGGGCACTAGACATTCCACTGTAAAAATTATACTAGGGAACTCTAATCATGTGAGTGGCAGGATAAAATGACCAGAGAACCACCAAAAAGTCATAAGGCTGAACCATCTTCAACAACAGAAGTTTATATGCTCTCAAAGCGCAACCAAAAAGAAAGATTGATTTTAGTATACATAATTTGAACATGTGCAACAATTACATCTGGCCTTCTATTGCTATATTTAGAAAAATGCTATGACCTTTTTGTTTACAACGTAGTTATTATTGTAGTGTTTTCTMTTTTATTTGAACCACCATTTCACCTCCATCATGAAAAATGGTTTTCTTTTCCTTGTTATTAGAATGAACATCATTACCACTTACCAGAAGCAGATCAACATCCTCAGACTGATTGCATAGGAAAGGAGTGTTAAAAATTAGTGAATATAAATATTTACCAGGATGCAGGTTTTTAGCCTAGAGAATAGTTTCATCTCATAGAGGCAGCAAATTAAACKCCTGAGCATAGCTTGAAAAAAGTAGCACACCATAGATCTGTTATTTGTCCTTCTAATGGAATGTTTGTCCCAATTGTACGAGCAACCTATCCAGTTTTCAGCACAAGACTTTCTCTAAGAATTCATTATTTTTTCCAAAGCCCCATTGGTTGCAGAGTGTCTTGCTACAACTGACCTCTCACAGAGTCCCTTTGAAAATATGAGTTTTAAGGGGCTTAGAATAAACCATTTGATGCAGATAGCTTGTCACTATCTTGGTCAACTTTGAGTATTGCCCTGTAGGACTGTTTGTCACTTTTTCACTTAGGAGGCAGCACCACATAATTTAGTTTGATGATTAATTTCTTTTCATCAATCTGAAGTAGCCAACTTGGAAGTTGTTTCAACAATGCTTATTACAAAMTGGAATATTGTGTCACTTACATTAAAATAATTTCAAATTTAGTTCACTTTTAATGCTCAATCACTCAYAAGTGATTTACTTGGAAATACTAAAGGACTTTTGGAAAGGAACTACAAGACATGGACAAATGCCTTCCCCATTCAACTTTCTAGCATATTATATTGCCTAAATTTCACTAGTCCTGGCAGGAGACAGAAATTTCATGCTATTTTTTCTCTTGTTCTGTCTATTTACCACCTCCTAATATTCCAAAATTTGGAGGTCACAGTGATAGGGTTCAAATGAATTTATTACTGTTAATATGTAATCTGCTAACAGTCTGTGCTAAATATTTAAGAAAAAACATATTAGGTTAGGACTACTCAGGATTAAATTCAGCCTTTATAACAAATTTCAGAAAGACTCATTCAGCTACTAGGAAAGAGACTGCAGAAGTTAGACTGTGCAGGACACAGTTCCTGTTTTGTAACTCAACAAAAAAGGGGAAGTAAAGAGTTCAAAAAGCAATCAAATAGGCTCAGCCTACATCCTCAGCTCTATGACAAGCCGTAGTCAGAAAAACCAAACAATCAAGAATTTAGTTGCCTGAGACAGCCTTGAAATTCCTAAGTAACTCTTATCTGAAGGAGATAAAAAGAAGAGCTCTGAAAATGCATTACCACTGATGGCATGGTATTCTTGCTGCCAGGTGGAATAAGCACACGAAGGTCTGGTTTACGGTTGTTCATTCCCAAATTCATTGGAGGCGGAGATTTTGCTTGCATATTCTTGTTCAAGTTGCCAGGTGAGACCAGCAGACCTGGTGAGTTGCGGGGGTTGCCATAGCCATTTCCTGTTAAGGTAAAAAATAGAGAAAAAAAAAAAGAGAGAAGTTTGCTAAAGCCCACTGTATATTTTAGGCCTCTCTAAAACTGTGAAATAAAAAACTTGTAGTAAATATCTATGTCATGCATCTTTATAGGAAAATACAATGTGCYGTATTTGGAACAAGTATTCCAATGCTTTCTCTCACAGTTGCTGACATCAGGTGATGTGCTGAAATTAACTCGATGATACAACYTTGTTTACAGTACTGTGGTATATAGCACCCTTGTAGCAGCCAACATCTGACRTTTGCCTTACCAGAGAATCAGGGAAGTCAGATAATATATAAGAGCATAAAAGATTTTTCTGGACAACTACAGAAGATTGTGCCTTTCCTGATTCAGCCCTTTGCAGGTCATGATTTTGTTTTGCTTTTAAACAAAAGATGAGCGCCGAAAGGCTATAATTTCCACAAAATGCAGGGGAGGACTAGGAGGATTCATAAATGCTTTTGGCTCTATTTCACTACACTTTTTGGACCAGGTTCTGTCAACACGCAAGTCAATGGGAGCAAGATCATAACCTTATTTGGAAAACACCACCATATCTTTCATCTGCATCTCTCTTCTGCAGTCCCAAGAACAATTCTGAAAAGAAAATGCTTCTTTTTCCTTTTAGAGAAATGGGTATTCTTTTCTTAATGCATCGCATTGACAGCTATATGTTCATAAGGTTACTGACCTGTCATTCCACCAAAAGTGAGACCTTCCTATTTCATCCACCTGATTTCACCTCTTACACATACAAAGAGAAAAAGATGACTTTTTAGTCATCTTGAAATTACTTTAGTAATTTTAAAATTCTGTCTACAGAGTCTCAAGAGAGATACAGAAAGTGCCCAGTCATAGAGAGGGAATAGCATGAAAATTAGTACAGAGAGAGAAAATCTTCACAGGTAAATACCAAAGAAACAAATGCTAGGGAAGACTTTCTGTTCTGTGTTCAACCTTTGTTCACAAGCTGCAGCACAGCCTAGAATTTGTGTGAGAAGATGAGCTAGTGAGTGTGGCAGAGACCTCTGGGTCCAAAAACCTTCAAATTTCCTTTATAGTCCCAAAGTTGGTGAAGTATCTAATTTTTTTTTTCCCACAGATATGAAATGGAGTTTACAGACCTAAGAACATAAGGGCATTATGGAACTAAATTTGATGTCTATGAGGTGGGCATAAAAATGACAGTACATGACAGTGACTTGCTCTTCTGGTTAGGATGATGAAGTGTGTCCAAGCATGACTAAGATTTTCAGGTTTCTAATCATCAAGCACATCAGCTAATTGTATTTATCAGATCAGCAAATTCATGGAAACAAGATCTCTCAAAGGCTATTAAATACAAAAACACCACTTCAGGCTCTGGAAGACCCTGAACTGTGAACACTAGGATTAGGGCACAAGAAAATTATCAAAATGCTTGAATTCTTTATTTCTCAGGTACCTTTAATAACCAGTCTGGCCTGGCTTGTTTTTTTCTCATACATTTTATTATCATGATTTCCCAAGCCTTTGCAAAAAAGATGAAAACTTAAGGGCACGCAGATCAGTTCCAACATTTTTTATTAAATGGAGACCGGAGATTTTGCACTAAAATATTCTTCATGGTTAATCTTCTTATTTATTTCCTTAATGATATAATCCAGTTAGTAAGACAAAATGAGTTAATGAAACACATTTTAGAACTTACCAAGAAAACTCAGCAGAATGCTATCAAAAATGTTCCATTTTATGTCATTAGGCTTTTTTTCCACAAAGAGCAATTGCTTGCAATGTCGACTAGCTATTTATTATGCTCTAATTAATGCTGTGTGTTACTACAGGTGGTGAAATTAGAAGGGACATTTTGAATATACAACAATTTTTTTTTCTGCCAGAAACCACACTGCCTTTTAAAAAACCACATCTTTTACAAACTGAATACTGAAAACCAATGTGTGAAGCGATCAACAGAAGAAGCTAAAACAAAAGAAGGGTTACTCTGGTGTCAGTTTCATGCAAGAGAGATTTTACACACAGGATATAAAACTGCCTGAGGAATCTATTGTTTGACAAGGATTTGTTCAAAGAGCAACAATGAAAGTGAAGCAGTAGAGGTTTTTGTTTTCCTGTTCAACATAGAACCTAAGATATATAACAAAACAGAATGTACTATATTCTGTATGTTTGTTTCTAGTTGTGATTTTATGGGAATAAAGCACCTTACAAGAAAGAACTCCCATTTGCTGAGTAAGATTTACTTAATAGAGTTTACTATTAAACATTAGGGGAAAGAATGTTTCTGTACAAAACTGTATTCTTCAAAAACTTTCATCTGACCTTTACTAAGTAAAATATTTTGGAAAGCGATTAGATTTTTTAAATTTATATTTTAAAAACATCAAATTGTTTTTAAGAACTACTACAAYCTTTTCTTTGCCAGCAGATTTCTGCTGTTCATGGCATATTATGCCAGCTAGAATTTTGGAGCCATATAATAACAGTTCCTCTTTTCAGTCACCAAATTGTTATTCTTTTGGTATAATGAGGATTCAGGAATGTAAGACTGTGGACCTTAAACCAATGRTACAGAAACCCATCATTTGGAAATCAATGATGAATACATGCATGTGGTTTACAGTTAAGAAGAATCTGCATTTAAACCAGTTCTTTAAACTGTATCCTTTTAACTCAAGAGGGCTGTGGCCTGCTCAGAGGCAGCTGTCCCATCTTCAGATAAATCCACCAAAGAGAATGGCCTCATTTACATTCAGAGCAAAAAAAAAATATGTAAGACTTCTAATGTACAAATTAAACCTTCCTACATGCTATACTTTAATATTACACTCTGCCTGGACAATTATCAATTTAGATGTGCCCGTATGCAGAACTATCCACTTGAAAGCACAAAAATTATATGTCATATATGAATGGATTTCTTGATTATAGATCATAAGGAAATGAAAACCAGATGGATTTTAGCACAAGTTGGCTTTACATTTTTGTTAAAAGCCATGTTTTTGATGAAACAGAACATTTTTAAACATTACRAATATATTCTGTAATGAATAATGAAAATAAAAACAGTGGATACACAAGTTTTAAAAGGTGTATGTCAGAATTTGTCAATTTACAGGACTTTAATTTAACAAGTTTTCTGAAAAAATACTTTTCCTGGTATTGTTTGTTATCCTGACATGTAAGAGTAAAAATATTTTATGCAGAAAAGAGCTTGTTTTCAGCCAAAGCTAGTGGAGCAGCATGTGTAATGAAGTGCAGTTCTAGACTTTGTATTTGGACTAATGGCAGAACACAAAGTACAGAACACTCCCCATGTTCCTAYATGGCATGTTCCTACAGGGCATGTTCCTACATTTTGGACTTAGGTACAAGTGCCACTGACTTTAGAATAAATTATGTCTAAGCAAAAACTGCCTAATTAATCCCTGTAATATAATTTATTAAAAAACTTGGAGAAGTTATATGTGTGCACTGGTAGGTATTTAACTGGTAAGTTAATATATAAAAAAATTCCATTTACTCATGGAAAACTACAAGTTTAACTGTGTTACAAATTCATGTAATACTATCTTAAATGGTCACTTCCATATTTTTAGAATTTAAGGATACCAGAAGGGCACAGGTTTACTTCGGACATAACAGAGAGCAAAGTTTACTTCTTCCCTCTCATCCCCCATAAGTAAGACCTGTGCCTTTTAAGGAGTCTTGGTCATTGTTATTAAAGGGGTTCTAAAGTGGCTGTAATTCTTAATATTCTCAGTAATTCTGTACTGAGCATTTAAGCCAAGTAACCTTCTGCATGTTAAGGTAACACAAACGAGAAAATATTTTTTTCCTTATTTCTCGACATTCCTGAACATAATTTTCATAATTCAAAGTCTTTAAGTGTCTTGAAAATTTTGAAAATTTCATTGTTTTGATTTCTTGAACTTTTGAAACTGTYACGTACCTCCTTTTTTGTGTGTGTGTGGTCCCCCCTCTTTTTTAATGTGGTCTTGTTTTTATTTTTCTTCTTCTTCTTTTGATTTCAAAGATATAAAGATATACTGGATGAAAAATCCTCTACAGTAGTCTGAAGAACCAGAGTGAAATAATGAGGAACAAAACACCAATTTATATGTCCTTTTATTTGATCTGTCTTTTGTTTACTCCAGTGCTTTTCACTGACCCTCTAGGTTGAGATTTTACAAGAACCTTAGGAACCTGGGATTAATTTTGATAGGAAATGAACTTTCAAATCCTTGAAGGAGTTTTAATAAAAACTAACTTTTATTTCAAGTTTCCATTAAGTGGATGCTCTTGAGAAAATTTTCAGATTTCTTCCAAAATGCATATCTACATTTGACTTGGTGGAGGATTTCTGCTCCTTACTTGGTTATATTGAATGCATATCCCATATATATGACATTTTGACTGATCACCAAGCCTCTTAAAATGAATGTTAAATATAGAATTAATGCATATAAACATGAGAGCAAACTATTTCACAAATTAATTCCACTTCAAAATATATGCATATAAATGAAAGAATCAAAAGAAAATGTGCTAAATTTGCACCCAGTTTTTCACTCTTTGCTCAGTTTATTCTCTCATTTTCTGGAGGAAGGTTAACTTTTCTTTGTAGTAATTAAGAGGTAATGAAAGGTTTCCTTTTCTCTCTTACATCTTATGTGTCTTTTTYCTTTTCAAATGCATACACACTATTGGAACAGGCTTTGGTAAAACCTAAACCTAAAACCTAAAATAAAGAGATACCAATAATAAAAAAAAAACCTAATGCTAGGAAGCTGTACTGGTGTTCACCTAAAAATAATCTTAAAAAGAGGTAATTGAAAGTTCTTACTCATATGTCACATACTTGTCACATTTCACAGCATACAACCTTCACTAACTGCAAATGGAAGAAGAAAAGCAGTCCGCTGCTTTCGCCATCCAGGAAGAAAGCATATTAAATATATCATCATATTATCAAAATATC